GTTGAGAAAGATAGCTTTCTGTTAATGCGAAAATAAAACTTCATAAGCTGAGTTCTCTCCATTATGACAGCTGTGTGTGAAGCCATTAGAGATGCATATGAATTTATAGTAAATTATCTTGTGCGCACAAGATAAAAATATTTCCTTTTGGGGCCTTTAGGGGCTCCGTAGATCAAATATGAGCAAAGAATATCAGATTTGGGTCACTTTGGCCTGCAGTCTGAGACTTTGTTCTGTTCCACAAACACAAAGGGGGAATAGAAAACACAATGTCACACTCTCTGCTCTGCATGTACAGCCTTGTGCAAAGTTCAAACTTGAATTTACATTTGGACTTACACTTGTCTTGCAAAATCCTTCACTGCCTCAAGTTTACCTATTCCCCATTATTCTGCTGCTCCACATCCAGTCCAACAGGTGGCGATAATGCGTCTACAACTGCTTGCGACCCTCTTAGAACCTAGAAGAAGAAGAACTATCAGGCTGAAAACCCCCAGACGAAGAAGAAGTTACAGTACGTAACAACAACAAACAGATGACCTGAGTAATCCACTGGTAGGTCATGTAACGTGTATTCATTAATGAGGCATAAACAGTGCTGTAGTGTTCATTCAGGTTTTTATCAGAAATTGGAAAGTGAAGTGAACAAGCCTTTCTGTGCTAATGACAGGGATTGATCTGGTTAGCCTCAGCTTTATGTTATGATACATACCCCACTGTATGATCTTAACTTTTATGTTTTCTTAAAAACAGCAGCTGTCTTTAGTTAGCCTTCAGTGAAATGAATGTAATAAAGGTTTCTCATGCTGTCAGTTAGCTTCTGTAACTGATTACTGTGTATACAATTTCTAATGGACGATTCTGCAGTCTAGGAGACCCCCTGCCCACTTTAACAGCTTAAAAAAACATACTTAATCTTGTTTTATCAGCCTGATAATTGATGCTTTTTCCTAAGTTCATGTCCTGATACTTCTGTTTCGAGTCTCAGAGACTTCAGCTGTAAAACATGGTTAAATACAGTTCACTTCTTGTGCTCTATATGTGACTGCTGTTGACACTACGTTTTATGCAACACTACACTTCCTAACTCCTCAAAATGTAAATTGTCTATTTGTATTTCTGTTCTTGGAGTTTTATAAGAGTTTGCTCATAAAAAAGTGTATTCTAATCGACTCCAAATTTGAGCGTTAGTTCAGTTTTCTTGGAGTAAGGTTGTTTGAGGTACTTATTCATAGTCAATGTTTGTGTTTTAAAGGGTTAGTCTGCATGCAAACTATTGTCTTCAATTAATAAAGTCATTGAATAACACAACAAAGGGGTCTGTGAGACCCCAAACAAACAGGCACAGGACCCCTAACTGCTTGAGACTTGTGCTATGCAGCAACCCTCTCTACATTAATATATATCCAAAGGTCCTGTTTTATTATTATCATTATTAAATTAATATACAAAACAGTTAAACACACACAAATGGCATTTATTCTTTATTTAAGCTTTTTTGTACTACTGGTAGTTTATTATCATTGCTTTGTCACCTAAATATTCACTTTGTTATTGCTGTGCGATTTCTCCTACCTGACAGAATGAGATACTTTTCTTTAGAGAGAATGATAATGCTTTCCAAATCCACAGGAGGCCAGAAATGAGTTGCACTTTCCACCTCCTGGTTTCCCGCAGTGACTTCTGGCATGGCCGATTTCTGCTCATCTTGTCTCGACAGTCCCTGTTGCTCAGAGCATTCAGCTTCGGGCCCCAGATCAGCCGCAGCCTGCAAGAGAGCTACAGGGTTCTGCAACTGCCTGACGAGGGGAACAGCAGTGCTGTGCAGGTGAAAGAGGCCTACTTGCGCCTTGCCAAGCTCTACCACCCGGACTCTGGGGCTCCAACTGCAGATGCTGCACTGTTTGCTCGAGTTGAGGAGGCCTACCGAGCTGTGCTGGCACATCAGAGCAAGACCAAGCAACCTGACGGAGGGAAGGAAGTGGAAGACGAGGAGAAGTCCAGAGGTAAAGCATTTCCACACAGGCAGTACCTCAGCTATGAGGGTGTGGGTTCAGGCACACCCAGCCAGCGTGAGCGTCAGTACCGACAGATTCGCGTCGACCGGGCAGCTGAACAGGTTTCGAACTACCGACAGAGGGAGCATGAGAGGGCAGCCGCTGGAGAGGGGGCACTGGTGGAACGGGACATGCGTCAGCGCAGCCGAAAGATCAAGATCACACAGGCTGTGGAACGCCTTGTGGAGGACCTGATCCAGGAGTCCATGGCCCGGGGAGACTTCAGGAACCTGAGTGGAGCTGGAAAGCCGCTCAACAAGTTCGAGCACAATCCATACGCTGATCCTATGACCCACAACCTCAACCGCATCCTCATAGACAATGGTTACCAGCCACCCTGGGTCGTTACACAACGCGACATCCGAGAGACCACTGCTCAGATCCGAAATAGGTTATTGGAGGGCAGGGCCAAGCTCGGAGACCCTGTGACCCCCAGAGAACACAGCCAGTGGGAGCAGCTTTGTGCATCTGTAGAGGAGGAGTTGGTGAAACTTAACAAGATGGTGGACAATTACAACCTCATGGTACCAATGCTCAAAATGCAAATGGTTCACTTCAGTTTGTCGCGAGAGATTGACCGCGCTGTGAAAGGAGCCCGTCAACACAGACTGGACCAGCAGAGAGAGAGAGAGAAGGAAAGAGAGAGGTGGAAAGAAGAAAAGAAAAGAGCCAACGCAGTAACCAAGCCTACAAACACCAAACAAGGCCTGATGTCTTGGATGAAGAATTTGCTCAGATTAAAACACTAAAACTCTGAATCTAAGTGAACAAAACAATATTTTAGATCAGTGGTTTATTTGTTGTTGTTTTTTCACTTAAACCAATCATTACAGTCAATGGGGTAATATTTCAGACACACTTGTTCACCTGCTTATTTCTGTACATTGTACGCTCTAACGTCAGAGACAATGGAGGCACTTTACTAATATTGCTCTGTGTTAGTACGGTTATTGTCCAGATATGCAGGATAATCTTCAGCTGTTAGTAACCGTGATTGTGGGACTGTAAAGTGTGAGGAACTGCATGTGTTTATAACAAAGATTACAACATGAGGCAATTTTATGATACAAGTTGTTTCTGTGAAATCACTTATCTGACGCACTGTAACTTTTGGTTGCTATGTGACATTAAAAGTTAAGGTAATAAAAAAAGAAAATCTTGTGTTACAGAGGTTTACATTTTTCAATCTGGCAAGTGTTTGAATAGCTGAATGTCGCATTCTAGTCTGGCAGCTGCTCCAGTGTTGCAGGGTTGCAGATGACGGTGGGCTCCTTGCTGCCGCCTCCGTTCCCCGCAGCCTCCCTGTGCAGAGCCTGGGCGACGGCCCGGGACGGAGTGATCACCTTGGTCCAGTCGTGGGCGATGTACTGGTGGTATGGGTCGTGAGAGCTTTCAAGCTTCTTGGAGCGTATGTAGCTGAGCATGATGCCGAATGTGAAGAAGCTGAACATGCCGACCACCAGAAGGATGTACATCATGCCCTGAGACTGAGAGTGGGCCCTGGCTCCATCCACATGGTGCTGGCTGGTGTAATTCTGTGGTATCGGTGGAGAGAGTATACTTGTGCTGTTGAGGCAGTGCTGTAGGAAGGAGAGCAGGAGCGACTGCAGCTCGGTGGTGTTGATGTGTGGCATGGCTGAACTCTGCTGGATGCTTAGCAAACTGCAACTGAGGAGGAAGAGGAGACTATTTCACTATTGTGTTATTTAATGTGACTGTGATCCTCCTAACTTGCTTACATCAACAGGAGGCAGCAGACACATAATTTCAGAGCTGGAGGTGACTAAAAAATGGATAAAAAATGTTACATAAATGCATATTAAGACATTAGAGAAAAAAAGATGGAAGAGATAAGTGAGAGGCATAATTAGCAAGAGTGAGACACATCTCATAGGGATTGAAAATAAAAACTAATTTATCCAGGAGAAGGAAATATTAATATCTAAATATTAAGGAGATATTATTTTCAGGATACTCAGTTTCTCAGAGATTTTAGAAATGTGTATTAAGTGACAGTTTAGTGCAGTGGTTCTCTACCTGGGGTTCGCAAACCCCCAGGGATCCTTGACAGACTTCCATGAGGTCCTTTCACCATTATTTCATTAGATAAAAGTTAGCCCAGGGAAATAATGTATACGAATGATTATATTCTGTTCGTAGGTTTCACACTGCAAATAATAAATAAAATACGGGTCCACAACCTGATGTGTATCGATGTGGGGGTCCTTGACACCAAAAACATTGAAAACCACTGCCTTAGTGTGTTGTCATATTTTAAAACTACACATAGGAAACAAATTCTCTGAATCCTACCCAAGAAGCTTAAGCTTGAATGCTGTACACTTCTTTTTTCTTTCGCTTGGCTGACCTTTTCAAGTTAGTCTTATGGGAGCGAAGGTAAAGTGATATAGAAACTGATTCCTATTAATTATATCTACATCATTATTCAAGCTGTGTCCAGTAGAAAGAAAAGCCTACCTTTCAAGGATCTGGAATCGGTTCCTGTTGTCATTTGCACCAGCAGACATCGATCATTTCAAGTCATGTGTCTCCAGCAGGACTAGAAGCAGCTGGTCCCTAACTGCATGTTGAATAGAACCGTTTAATCCCCCTTCTCCTAGTCACAATGTGCCCTCCTTCATGCTCATGCTCTTACGCGGAAGAGATATCCAGCATGTTCAACATGTCAACACGTTTAATGAAAGGAGGAGGTCACAGGGCAAGGTCAAAAGCTCAGTATAGTGAAGCACTGGTAAAGCATGACTTGAACCGCTGTGTAACAGTTTACTGAAGATGAGCATGCTCGGAGTTAGGCTATTAGTCTTTACATTATACCTAATTTAAGCAGTGTTATATCTGGTAATATGTCATGAAAATTATAAGAAGAATATGTCAAAGTGGATTTAATGTATTTATGTTATGACTACATGTGGCTATCAGGACAAACAAATATTCAGAATTACCTGTAGATACCGTTTCCATCATCCTTTGTGTGGTGAGAGAGTGGTGTTTAAACCCAGTTTGTGAAGATAGGGTATGTGGTTGCTTGTATTGTCTCGTGTATTTATTCATATATATCACATTTTGCAGTAGGAGTGTGTGGTCATTTTCAGGACGGTGTCGGGCTGCAGCAGGAGAACAAAGCTGCTTTCAGACCGGAGGTAGTTTGGACAGTCTGCAGCACAGCTCAGACTAGATTGAGTTACAACACTATCACCTCCAAATGTCCTTTAACTCGCTGTTGTACGTGTGTGTGTGTGTGGTGCCTGAAACCTACAATAAAGCGGTATTTAAGAAAGAGATGATGCAGATAGATATGTCTGTCCTCATATTCTGCAGGGGGATTGACAGGCAAAGGGCAAAGTTTCATATAGATCAATGTTGTATGTTTACTATATTTTAAAAAACACATTACACTGTTTCTCAGCAGTGGATTATTGTCAAAGTTAACACTGAAAAGGTCTTCAGTGTCTGTGTTTTAAGTCTTTGCCAACACAGCAAACGCAAAAATAGGTTGCATCAAATTGGATAGAAACAAAGAGTTTATATTGACTAGAACAGACTTTTATGTTTATGCGTTACACTAAAGCTGGTGTGAGAGTGATGTCAATGTTATGCTACTAGGATATCCACTCACTGTCATGTTTAAAATCTCAATATATCAAGACCTCTCTTATTTGGTATGATGAAGATATGACAATGATAAAAAATATAATATAATAAAAATATAATTTTCAAATTACGGCGAAATCATTACACAGTTGGATATTTTGGCATTTCTGCTTCTGTTGTGTGGCCAAAGAGATGTAAATGAAGAAAATAGTTTCTACAAAGGTTTTTTTTAAGTACTTTTTGAAGTATAAATAAAGTAAAGTAATGCTGAATTAATAAGTCAACCATTTGATTAGTTTATCAATAGAAAATGTATCAATGTCCATTCGGATAACTGTTGATGTTCTAGAGTTACAGCATTACAGGTTGTCTTTGCATTTTTGTATGTTTCATTGTTTTCAGTTGGATATTTTTGTATTGTTTGGACTTTGGTCACACACATTATGCAAAAAGTAAAAAAAAAAAAAGAAATACTTTGGACTAACTTGAGTTTGTATTTTTATATGCTATAGACCAAAAACGAATTATTAAATAACGAATAGATTATTCACCAATAAAAATAATTTATTGAATTATTGAAAACTCTATTTACAAATCTACAAACTTTCAAGCATCATCAGCTAGTTGACCAAGGCATTCAAATTTCAACCTCTCATCATGGCACAATAATGAAGCTTGACTCGCGGAGAGATGAGCTTGTTACCTGGTGGATACAAAATGAAAAAAAAATGTGACATGCGACATGTGACATGCTTTCATATATGTCATATTATCACATTTTCTTGAAAGCAAGAGGTCTCACTCACCGGTAATTTTACTCTAGCTGCACCCCGTCACAGGTGTCTTTTGATTCTAACAGCCTGTAAATATATAAAAAAAAGGTGAATAATAATAATTATTAGATAAATTAGAATAATTTAGATGTGAGAAACAGTAAGGAAGAGAGGGAAGAGAATCATAATGAATCCCCCTAAATGTCTTTACCTTACTTTTACTTACTAAACATGGTTGCTAAATCAAATTAAATCAAAAAGAAAATTTCAGAATGAATATCTTGAGCTCAAGACCCAAAAGAGAAATTTTCCCCTGGACACAAACGTATTGGCCTCTCACACCATTGCTCCATAACTCACCACCTCCAGTCATTTAAAGGTCCAGTGTGTAGGATTTAGTGGCATCTAACGAGGTAGTTGCCCGAAAGAGAAACTATGGTGGCAGTGGAAATGTGCGAAAAACATGAAGCGCCATATCTAGAGCCTGTGTTTGGTTTGGTTTGTTTGGTATCTGTAGTGTCTGTAGATGTTAGTCTAAGGTAAAGAAAAATACAACAATACGATTATTATTTTCACGTGATTATACACAAATGAAAACACATTATGCATATTATATTTCATATCTTTCAATAGATCCTCCTAAATGTTACACACTGGACCTTTAAATGAAGGGAAGGCAGCAGAGAGGAAGCAGTCGTGGCAGTATGATCTGCTGTGCTGAAATTCTGGCAGTAACCACCTAGAGGCAGCAGTCCCTTTTTCTCCCACTTTTGCTTTTTGGGCCATGTGGCAGTCTAAAACAGCCTTCACAAAAATACATCATGAATTGCCATAACATCTACATTTATAAATTACTGAGAAAAAAAGATTGTAACACACTAGTCAGGTCAAATGCTAAACAAAAAGGATTTGCAATTTTGACTTGAAAAGCAAACACTCTTCTATTTTAATTAGAATTCACAAATCATAGCATTGTAATGCATTTTACTGTGTCAATAGGGGCCAAATAAAAACAGGTCCACGATCTATTTTGGGTCCCAAGCTTAAGTTTGAAAAATGCTGGGTTAAACAATCACATATATATGTGTGTGTGTGTATAGAAAACTGTATTAAAATGTGTGGCACTTTCTAAGACACCTGACTCCAGTACATTGGTTAAAGGCTAAAAGATTTATCCTTAATTAATCACATCACATGAAATACAAATGACTCACTCTGCCTGAGCTTTGAGAGCCTTACGGGCCTCCCGAGCTTCATGCTCCTCTGAAATCTTCTTGTAACAGTACACCAGAACCACAATGAGCCACAGCTGCAGAACCACAATCAGCACGTACATCATTATCTCTGAGATCACCGCTGTCAGCTCCCGATTGGCTGGGAAAGAGGAACCAACAATGTAGCATTATAGAGGATGCATATCCACCAGGGTTAAGGCTGTGTTTTCTGTGCAGACTCATTCCATGTATTCCACTGGCAAATAGCAAAGAAGAGATTTTAATAAACAATTTAGCAGACTCTCTGTGTTTCCAGCGTGGACACGGAGAGTCATGGTTGCGGACATGAAGCCAGAACCTTATGTTTAGGTTTTAAATGGTGGAATGACAAATAATCTCAACAGGAAAACTGTGAATGCAGTTTTGCCAAAATAGAAGAAAGGAGAGATACCAAACAGAATTAAAAGTGACAGCCAGTGGTGGAATCTAACTAAGTGCAAGTTACTCAAGTAGTGTTTTTGAGTACAATTTTTGAGTAACTTGTACTTGAGTGTTTCCATTTTATGCCGCTCTTCAACTTCTACCCCATTTCAGAGAAGAAATGCTGTACTTTTTACTCCACAACATTGACCCAACAGTTAAATTTTTGATTAAGATTGTACATACAAACTAAAGGCTAGGTTTAACAGTTTCCAGTTGTTTTGACTTGTGCCTGTGACTGATGTGACCAAAAATGATTTCCCATCTAACTTCTCGGATGGTTTCTATTCAACCCAAAGAGGTCAAATTATCCAACATACATGATATTTAAAGATGCATCAGTCACAGAATGACTACTTTTACTTTTGATACTCCAAGAACATTTTGCTGATAATACTTCTGTACTTTAGTTTAAGTTTAAATGAAGGACTTCTTAGTCCTTCAACTGAGTATATTTGCATTGTTGTATAAGTTCTTTTACTTAAGAGAAGGATCTAAATACTTCCTACCTGCCCTTTCACAAGTACACCCCACCTTACCTACAGCCACCACGCTGAGCTCCACCTCCTTCTCCACAGTGACATGCTCATCATGCTGCGCCATTAAGAGGGTGCGGTGGATTGTGCAGCGGTACGTCCCTGTGTCATTAAAGGTGACGTTAGAAATGTAAATAGCTCCTGTCTGAATATCACTGTTTTGTGTCCCATGCCACTCCAGACGGTCACTGAAATCTTCATGGATTATGTCGGAACTGGGGTGGTCATAGTGAAAAATCTGAGGGAAGAAGAAAAAAGGAAACAAATGGGAATTTACGAATATTTAAGAGCATGTATACAATCTTTTAAAGTTCCTGCTCTGAATAGACTATTCAGTATAACTTAAACACATTCACTGCTTTGTATTTACAAATGATTTAAAGTGTAACAAGTCCGTCTAAAGCAGAAGAACACATATGTGTAAGTCATAACACAAAATGGTGTAAGTCAAGCACAGTTGAGGAGCGCTATCGTAACCATATGTGTGGTTATATTACACATTTTGTGATTATGACTTACACATAATGTTTCTCTCTGCTTTAGAACGGACTTGGTTAACTTTAAATCATTTGTAAATACAAAAGCATGGAATGTGTTTTAAGTTTATATCTAGAATAGTCTATTCAGAGCAGGAACTTTAAAAGATTGTTATACAGTGACGTCCCTGTGAGAGAGAGCGTGGAAGAGGTTCCCGACAATTTTGTTCTGCTGCCAATTCTGATATTACAAATACATTCCTAGTCATGATTAATTCAATATGGACCACAATCGCACCAGTTCCGACGTGATACTCCAATGAATTGATAATAGTTGAACCAGTCCAGAAACGGCTTTGGAGATCGCGCCAAAGGTGGACAGCCAAATACCAATGTGATATTGCCAGGATCACCCAAGAGTATTCTTTCAGTAATAGAGTACACTTTGCCCTGTGCAGCACTGTTCTTTTGAATTTTTGCATTTTAAAAAACACCCGTAAGGGACGTACACTTGGACGTACGCAACATATGATTCCAGCGCAGCTCATTAGGCTTGTGAGGCGCATGCTTATAGACATAAGTTCCTTATGTCACTTGTTGAGTTTCGAACGGTAGGGACTAGCTCCAGCCGCTGGTGCGTGTAGGTTTAGAAAGGAATGGTTGTTGTCATCGGTAGGTAAAGGGCAAGGCTTACGAGTGGGAAGATCCCCTTGAGATTTTAGGAGCAGATTATTCATACATCGATTCCTCTAAAAAAGCTCATAATCAACTAAACGGTGCAATCTTTAAATGTAAATATCAACAAAAAATATGGGCCTAAATAAGAATCCAATATCTTCATCCAATGTTTTTTATTATTTTTTGGGAAGGAACTTCAAAGAAGGTCCGAATGTATTGCATTGTAAAAAGTTTTAATTCAAGTTATCTTACAGAATTCTCCTTTTTGGTGAAATAACTGAGAGCTTATAGAATTATAGATGAAGAAAGAACGATTCGATATTTACAAGATTTTTAGTAGTTGTTTTTGTTAAAAATCATAAAAGCATAGAATCATTGCGCCAAATTGGAACGTCAAGCACAGTTGAGGAGCGCTATCGTAACCATATGTGTGGTTATATTACACATTTTGTGGTTATGACTTACACATAATGTTTCTTCTGCCTTTAGAACGGACTTGGTTAACTTTAAATCATTTGTAAATACAAAGCAGTGGAATGTGTTTTAAGTTTATACTAGAATAGTCCTATTCAGAGCAGGAACTTTAAAAGATTGTTATACAGTGACGTCCCTGTGAGAGAGAGCGTGGAAGAGGTTCCCGACAATTTTGTTCTGCTGCCAATTCTGATATTACAAATACATTCCTAGTCATGATTAATTCAATATGGACCACAATCGCACCAGTTCCGACGTGATACTCCAATGAATTGATAATAGTTGAACCAGTCCAGAAACGGCTTTGGAGATCGCGCCAAAGGTGGACAGCCAAATACCAATGTGATATTGCCAGGATCACCCAAGAGTATTCTTTCAGTAATAGAGTACACTTTGCCCTGTGCAGCACTGTTCTTTTGAATTTTTGCATTTTAAAAAACACCCGTAAGGGACGTACACTTGGACGTACGCAACATATGATTCCAGCGCAGCTCATTAGGCTTGTGAGGCGCATGCTTATAGACATAAGTTCCTTATGTCACTTGTTGAGTTTCGAACGGTAGGGACTAGCTCCAGCCGCTGGTGCGTGTAGGTTTAGAAAGGAATGGTTGTTGTCATCGGTAGGTAAAGGGCAAGGCTTACGAGTGGGAAGATCCCCTTGAGATTTTAGGAGCAGATTATTCATACATCGATTCCTCTAAAAAAGCTCATAATCAACTAAACGGTGCAATCTTTAAATGTAAATATCAACAAAAAATATGGGCCTAAATAAGAATCCAATATCTTCATCCAATGTTTTTTATTATTTTTTGGGAAGGAACTTCAAAGAAGGTCCGAATGTATTGCATTGTAAAAAGTTTTAATTCAAGTTATCTTACAGAATTCTCCTTTTTGGTGAAATAACTGAGAGCTTATAGAATTATAGATGAAGAAAGAACGATTCGATATTTACAAGATTTTTAGTAGTTGTTTTTGTTAAAAATCATAAAAGCATAGAATCATTGCGCCAAATTGGAACGCTCCCGCCTGCGCTTTTTACATAGAATACAGGTTTTAAGGAACTTCCACATTGGCTTCACTGTTCAGACCTGGAAGCTCTGTCCATTATATATAATGTCAGTGGGTTGAATAGATACAGATAATAATGTACACGCTCATCCTTAATATATATATATATATTATTTTAATTTGAAACAATAAGATACATAAATCTGGATTTCTTGTATTTAATGACTGACTGGAGATGACTACAAAGGGAACCCTTTTCAGTCACAACCCCCAACCAGATTTAACACTTCCTTCAAAGACTTTGTTGAACTCACATGCATGAACTCCTCCTCTCCCAGCGGTTTGAAGTGCCAGTCTACTGTGGCTCGTGCAGAGACCTCCTCTCTTCTTTTACAGGAGATGCAGCCCAGCAGGAATCCTTCTCCTGCCACGGCTTCAGTCATGGAGTCCACCTCTGCACATCCGCCGAGACACTGAGACACTGCAGGGAAAAGAGAGAGGACAAGAAGAGAAGAGGAAGTAGAAAACAACAGTGATTTAAATTAACAAGAGGGGAGAAGAAGAAGAACATGCAAGGACTTTATTATATTGATAAATTTTCATATGCCATTTAGACTGTATCCCACTTGATAGGAAAATATGTTTAGTACTCTAAGTACTCTAATCAAGGGGTTGTAGTATTTTAACATAGCCTAACAGAGCTGAACTTTATTTGTATAGCAACTTTTAACAACAAAGCAATTTAAAGTGTTTTACACAAAACATAAAAAGAAACACAGCAACATAAAGACTAATATAAATAGGATTTAAATACAGTCAAATAAAATCAAAGATGAAAATACAAATTATACAATGGAATAAAATGGCTTTCATGATTAGTTAAAAATGTTTTTTTAAAATTGTAAGACAATATTTCATGTCTTAGCCTTTCTCGGATGAAATTTGTCTCATATGATGGCTACTGATTGTCTGTCTGAGAGTTGTATTCAACACCTAAAAAATTATATTCAAAAACCCTTATTTTGTGTTTATAGAAGACAGGTGCAGTAGAAATACAATCTACTAGGAATGCATATGAAGTCTTTGCCCTTTTTTAAATTTTATTTTATGAAAAAGCTGTGAGGACTCTTGCTGTGAGGAAACTCAGTTCACTTAAGAAACTCACTTTAAAATGTGCAGCTTCAACCACCAACATCAAAAGGTCCTCATTATTAAAGGTACAGACATAAAGGATTTTGGACTTACCAAAAAGACTGAGGACAATTAGAAGAGACAAGTAGCGTATCATTTCTCCTGAAGTAACTTAAGGCCAGCCGTTGAAGAAAATATTGAACTTTCCTTGACGTAAACCTGAAGAGAAATATCCGTGGCATGTAAGATTACATTACTGACACAATGCCTCTTGATTCCTGATTAATCCCATGTCCTTCACAAACCACCCTTTAATCCAGACTGTCAGTCCAAGAGTTCACCAATCTTGTATTTCACATAGCCCAAACTGAACAGAACATTGAAAATGTTTACTAAAAAAAACTTCCTGTCCGTCTCCGTGTTTCTTCGCAGTAGTTTTAAATCTCCCCTGCAGTCCCATCTGACTTTAAGGCTGCTATATTTAGTGCGTGTGAATCCAGGAGAGTTGGACGTTGTAAGCGTTGAAAGCCAACAGGAAACCTGAGATGAAGAGACCTGATCTGGCTATAACTACACAGCCTGACCATCTAAACCAAAACTACAGCCATGTTTCTTCTTATCTACAGATTGACAAAAGAAAGTTTTCTCAAAAAGGAAAAAGAGAAGAAATAGATCTTTGTTTTGCTTTCTTAGTGGTGCGTTATTAGAAATATTTTTTAATCAGTTATTTTTGTACAGCTTTGTATATCATTTTCATTTCCATTTCCATTTTGTATATCATAAAATGTTATGCGTCCTTTGGTTATTACCTTTTCTTGCCTTATTATTATCTTTGCTAGGCTGTATTCATGCTGTTCTATAACATAGCTTTTGTATTCATTCTTTAATAAAAAAGGAAGCAGCATGTCTGGCATGCAAAACCATCCCTGACACGTTTTGTTTAACAAATCCTTTCGGACAAACAGATGCTGGAGCTTAAAGGGAAATGATTTTTTTAATGCAATATGATACCTTGTCTGTAAATAAATGCTCTGTTCTCCTGCCCCTCTCCACGGGTCAGAGATCAGTTACAGAGCCCTGCAGCAGGCAGGGGTTTAATGTTTTTGCTCAAGGACACTTCAGCAGAGATGAATCATTTGCTCCAGCATTTCGAATGTTAGGTTACTAGAAGTTTATCTTTCTCTGAGGATTTGCATGCTATTTTGTCTATCATTCCATGTAGTGAACTGACTTCGCCAAATCTCTTCCTTTTAAAGACTGAAAACCAGTCAGGGTTGTGAGAACTTGTGAGACCCCATAAAACCAAACACCCTCAACACATCTTCATCAAAATCTGCTGGCTGTTGTTAATAAAATATATTGTACAATTAAGTTTGTATATCAATATGTGTCATTTGAGTTACAGTGGCTGACTGTGTAGCTGGTCATTTGTGCACCTTCCCAGAAGATGATACACAACAGAAATGTATCAGTCAGCACAGATATTTCAGATTGTTTGTTAGGAACAATCTGATGAGTCAAATAGTGAGACACATGGTTGGGCCTTTTTTAAATCTTCCAAAAGCTTTTCTGTTTATCTTGTCTGAGATAAATGCATTAGTAATATGCTGTCATGTAGCAGCATATTTGGTATTAAATAGGCTATCACAGGATGATGGATGATAGGCCAACATTTTTTGAATGCATAAAAAAAAAAAAATGTTGGCCTATCATCCATCCTCACTATGGCATGTGCCACTTGATTGACGTACGGAGCCATGTGCCATGCACTTATGCAAGGTACACCAACATATATCGTATATATAAAGTATACTCAGTGTATATATATAATTAAATATATGTTTAGCATTTGTAATGTAGGTAGATCATTTTGACCTCGTCATGTTAAAAGTAGCTCGCAAGCCGAAAAAGTGTGGGCACCCGCTCATCTAGAAGTGTCCACACCACATTGAGGAGGATTAATTGGCCAGAAATGGATATACACTATTCGATCTGACGGCTAAAGTTTTTTCATCTACATCCAGCCCCTTCTGTTTTCCTAAAATTAATCAATAATAATACTCATCCACCGCATAACTACCACTATGATAATAATTATATATAAATACATTATCATTATTAATATAAATCAATTCAAACATTTCCCTCTAACAGCAGAAAATGACACATTTTGTAAATATAATCTCTCTTCTTATCAGTTTTGATCTGCCGTCTAAGGATCTAACAGCCGGTCAATGCCAGTTGTCCAGTCAGAAAAACAAGGCCACTGAAGTCAAGGCTGACAAAACAGACATTGACCGAAGGCCTCAACTTGCGTGCCTTGCACGTGGTTGGTACAGACAACATGTTGACGTGATGAATGTAATGAGATGTTTTTTTTTCTTTTTAAAGGGGAATGCCTCGTCACATGTCAAGTCAAATTAAACATATCGCTCTCTGAGGCCGTGCAGATAAAAAAAAAAGATGTACAGTGTAAACAGGAAGGATATAAGCTGTGTTTCTACCAGTCAGGCTGTGTGTGTGTTTGTGTATTTTGGCTGCATTGGAGGTCAGGTATGTCATGTGATATAACCAGATGACACAGTGAATCACTGAGCTCTTGATACGGGTCCTTGCCTCTTTTAACCTTGTGTTAGCCTGTGAATGATAATGACAAAAAAAATCAGCCAGAGCAATCTTGAAAATTACACGCATGGCTAAGACAGGATGAGAGAAAGACCTTGGGTTGGCACACACATGAGTGGCGAAACTTCAAGGAAATGTTGACATATGATAAATCCTGTGTGTGTACGTGTGTGTTGTGTATATGGGGGTGGACTGCACCACTCTGACCCTACACACGCATATACACAGTGAGTGACACACCTCCTTTCTCGCTATGCTGGTGCTGTTTTTTTATTTTTAGCACAGATCGAGTTTCCAGTCCCCGATTCAGCAGCCAGAGGTGCTCAGCAACACAACTCCCTGTATCCTGGAGCAGTCTCTTGCCCTGGGCTGCACATGTAACACAGACCTCAGTTCTCTGTTTTGAAGTGGAGCCGGTGAAGTGTTGATTGCAGGAGGCGGTCACAGGGAGTGAGAAGACAGAGGATGCCGGGTAAACCTATGGAGAATTTGAAATTGCCAAGTCATTGTGATGCTGTGCCATCGATTTGAAAGGATACAGAAGTAACTGCTGGCTGAAGATTTAAACTGACAGGCAGGTAAAGGCAAATTCATCACAGCAAAGATGTGCAGATTTTCAGTTTATATGTCCTTAGATACTGTATGTTTGCTTAAAAACAAAACCAAAAAACTACTTGAAATGATAGCACTGACTTTGTTTCTATAATCTATCTCTGTTTTAAAGCTTCTAAAGCTTCTTCTTTACTTATTGAAGCGTAAGGATATCTGCCCCAATGTGTAGCCTATTTTGAAAAAAGTCTAGTACACTGAGTGTTAAACATTATGGAAATAAGACTGAAACATGCAAATGTATGTACATACAGATGGGACGTGGGCATTAGAAATGAGATAAGTTGAAGTTGTGTTCTTTTGAGTCCACAAGAGCTAAAACGATTAGTGGCAAGTATTTTGATAAACAATTCATTATTTAAGTTGTTTTTCAAGAATTGCTTGACATTTGCTGGTTCCAGCCGCTGAGTTGTGAGGATTTGTTGCATTTCTTTTGTCTTATGTGATAGAAAATTGTATATGTTTTGGTTTTGGATTCAATCTATTTGAAGACTTTGGGTATTGGGGAACAGTGATGAACAACATACAGACTAATTACTTTCTTGATTAAGTAGTATATTGACGGTCTTTTGTATTAGTATAAGTATTTAAATTAGTTATCTGGAAAATAATTTCAAAATGAATCAACAATAATAATCATTAGTAACAGCCCTAAAATTGACAGCGTTTCAGTTTTTCCATATAATCTATGAGTAGATTTTAAATCTATGTGAATCTGTTGGTTAAAATCTCTACATTCATGCATCATCGTAACTGAAAGAGTCTTGTATGTTCTTTTGTTTTCAGTTTCAGACAAGGTGACCTGTCACTGGCCCTGCTCACTGTATGTGTCCCAGAGGAGAGGATATCCAATCTCTCACAGGCTGCATCCTAACTATAATAGCTCATGAGACCATATGAAGTGATGCTGCTACTGGAGGAAACGGGTGAGACGAATGTGCACCTTTAACACAAAGATTATGCCATATTTCCTTTTTGTTCCTGCTATTTTAGGATCATTTCTGCTTAAAAAAGGACTCACAAGCCTCAGATATAGTTTTATAGCAACTATAATGGCTGCACTCAGCCTTGTTAGACACAAGGGGTCGCAATGTTTCTGTCCATTCATTTTGGATCTTATTATCAACTCCCTTCAAATTAACTCTGAAATCATGCTAAATCTGTGGATTTACTTGTACTCGTTGCTCATGTGCTCAGGTGTACTGGGAAAAGAGTAAATATATCTGTTGTGTGGTGGTTTGTGCTACAAAAAAATCGCTGTAACTGAAACTGTACAGGATTGCTTCATTTATTTCTCCACGCAATAACGCAACGTAACTGTTGTTTTAATTAAATCACAAGGTTTGTAGGTGATGAAAGCTAAAAAACAGACTTCGGGATGGATTTTGTTCGTCTCATGTCAACACTCTTCTTTCGCCACATCCTCTGAACAGTTATTTTCCCGGGCTGTACCACAAAGTTTTTTGCGGGGGGTGTTCGTCTGCTTTTGCTGATGGCTGTGTGTATTTAACTGCACAGGAAACGTTATTTATAACGTCTAGAATTTGTTGGTGTGGTGATTGTTGATAAGTGTACGCCTTGTCAAATAGAAAAAACGTTATCGGGGATAATACTTTTCTTGATGAGACTTCTCGTAACACCCCCGCGTCAAGTTAATCGTCCGACTGAGCGACTTCGTTCCTTTTCACTTTTCGACAATAAACCTTTCTGTGTGATACTTTGAAACCAAGTTGGTGCTTCCACTGAAGTTGAGCCAACTCTGGCTGGTAGCTTTAAAGTTAGTTCACCGCATTTTAAACCGGGGCTGGTTTTTAAACGTGGAAAATGGAAGACGTCGGCACAGTATTTTCTCTACTGAAAATTAAAGCCTGCTAAGTCAGATAGTCATCTTTTTGTGAGCTGTCGGCCTTCAGACGTCGGGGTGGTGTGGTGTTGGTTGGGGGGGGGCAACATTGGCTAAAACTTGGTTAGCTGGCTGGAGGCTATCTGTTAGCTGCAGCCGGCAGATGCCTCTGTACGCAACCGAGTATGTTGATGTGTTCCTGTGAAAAAGTGGATTTTAACGTGACTCCCCGCACCGTCGCTCGGCTTGTTTTCGAGGCCGAGCAAGATACCAGAAACGGAGGAAACTCATCCAATGGGAGGTAGGAGATTCAACTTAGCTTTAAGCCTTTCCACCCCCGGTGCTGCAGCCTGTTTGTGTGCCATAACGTTGTTGTTGTTGTTGTTGTCCACCACCACCCGATTTATTTCTGCATACTCTTTTCGTCCTATATCATGTCAAACTTCGGCTGTGTGTGTGTGGCTTTGTGCTGCGTGTCAATAGCAGTGACATTTCTGAGTGATGCACTTTTATTTATATCACAGGAGGAACTGTTCTGAACACTCCACACTGCAGACACTCGCTCCTTTTGTACGGCCGTGTTTTTGTTTGTCTTTTAGCATCTGAAATGTGCTGTGTAATGTTGTGCGATGGTGATTTCGAGATGGTGTTTTATGGCAAAAAGAGATCAGACTTGTGTGGACCAAAGAGTGAAGGCTGTGCGGGGATTATGGTGGATTACTCTGGACAAACAAGTCGGTGCCAAGATTGTTCTTGTTCAAACAGATCACAGCAAATACTGTCAGACGTGCTTGGGCCCTTGCCTTGGAAGTGCCTGCTTTGAAGGCAAACAATGGAGTGACACACACAAACACAACTGTTCCCTGTTGGAGGACACATCTGCAGTATGTTTTCATGTAGTTATGACCTTGGTAGCCTATAGTGGCAATTAGACCTTGTTATTGGCTGTATGAACTGTGTATTTTCAGTGGGTGTTGTTTATGTCTGCTACAGTGTCTGGTGGTTGCTGTGGGAGATTGTGTGTGTGTTTGTTCTTTTAGGATCAGCTGTGTTTTTTATAAGTCGTTGTTTTTTTTGGGGGGAATGCTGGCATTTAGATTTCCTTGCAACACGCGTAACTGTCCACTGATGAATAGACTGATGTCTGTCAGCCCCGTTTACCCAGTTTTGGCAATTTCTGAGTTACTTGAAGGGAGAAAATGTTGAATAATGCTGCTAAAATAATTAAACTATTAATCCAAACCTAGGCAAAAGTATGCACGAAACATAAACTGCCCCACCATCAATATATCCCATTGATCGGCCCTCTAACGGGAACAGTATTTCATTGCAAATCATCATCATCGTCATATGATACTTTACATTCCCGGAACGGGCAAAGCATACAATATCAAAGACCAGCTAGAAATAGTCTTAGTCTCGCAATAATTAGTTTTAGGCTAGTGTGAAGGGTTGTAGTCAGATGTAGGCCAGCCATTCCAATGCAAAGTTTCTGCTCTTCTCACTCCTCAGGTAGCTACTTCCAGATACAGATCTGTCTTTGTCTGAGACTTCAGCTGTTGAAAAGATCTGCCTGATAATGCAAACGCGAACTTGAAGTCTGCCAATGGGAGCAGAGTGGAGGAGTACCGAAGAAAGAGAGTGATACCGGACGGTGTAAGAGGAGCAAGGAGTGAGGCACATAAGCTGAACACAGAAAAGGGACGATGGAGCATTTTATTCATTCTTAGCCAACATAGATACAGACTGAACGACTGGAATAATGGATTGCCTAAAGATCACAAATTGCTCCTCCTACTTTCATTCCTCATTTTTGACAGTAAAGGAACACCCTTTTCAACACTTATAGGGAAATTTGCTTGTGTGATGTAAAGGTACTTCCAGTTCACAGGAAATATGAAGGAAACTGAATCATCATGTTAAATTCAGTCAGTGTTGCCTAATAAGTCTATTATTATTACTAAGTGATTTGCACAAAGGGAGTACTTAATGCGTTTCCAACATCTTGCGTCACCCATCCTATTTCTAAAATATACCAAAGGCAAGCATGACTGGAACATTTTAGTCAGTCATGGGTCAGCCTCGACTGTAAAGATGCGACAAGTCCTCGTTGGTGTCCTTGACTGGACTGAAAGAAAATTAAGCACTGAAGAGCTCTGAAGATGACTATGTCCTCTCCTGTGGGACCAGAAGGTATCACTGTGGCTCAGCCTGTCCCCGTCCCAACCCTGACTGTCCTGCCCCCATCCTCAGATACAGAGTCCTGGTCCCGCTCACCTAGCCCCAGACCGCCACGCTCCAGCCGCCATGGTCGATTCCACCGCAGCAGGAACCGAACCAAGAAACGCAACGAGGAAGAGCAAGGCTGCTCTCCTAAGCGGCAGTGGGGTAAAAAAACGCAAATTGTAGTAGAGGAGACGGGCCCCATTCCAAACCGTAGCCCCTCACCCTCCCCCTCCGTGGCCAGTCAAATGGAGGGGGAAGAGCAAGGTCAGGACAGCCCTTCATTGGACCACCTCCTGCCACCGTCTCGCTCCTGGTCTCGTAGCCCCTCTCCCAGCCGGCGCTCCCGTTGGTCCCTGAGGAGCCTACTCAGCAGAGACTCTGACTGGGAGAGCTGCAGGTTAGTGAGCTGGATTCATTCCAAATAACCAGCCAGAGATTTAAAAAAGAAAAAGGAAAAAATGATGAAAGAAATTATAAATGTGCTAATGTGCAGCATTTATTTACTCCCTCGTGTGCAGAGACGCAAACTAAAGTGTTTGGGGTTTTTTCTTAATTGATTCAGTTAAACGTTATCTCTTTGCGAATTGACTGCACTTATCTTACAGCAGCAGCACTACGTAAGGCTCAGTGGGTTAGAACAGCGTCCACACCATCAGCACTACGCTTGCCTGTCTCATGGGTATTCTACTCTTATAGCTCTGTTAAACCTCAGCCAATTTGCATTCAGGCCTCCTCAACCCAGATTTGCCTGCAATGCCTGACTGGAGTGAGTAGCCTCTCATTTGTGCATGTTTGTGGCAAATAAAAAAGGCCTTACATCTGACAGATTTACACTTAGTAGACTTTTCTCAAATGACACACAAGGTTAACTATTTTGGAACAGGGTGGAGTTAATTAGCTAATGGCTAAAACAAGTAAGGACAGATTACACCGTTAAAATCCTGATTAAGTTGATTCATGGTATGCTATGACGTCAGATTAAAAAGCAGGCCAACGCAAAATTTCAGTGATGAAGCAAGAAGTGGCCTGTACCTTGTACTTAACACAAAAACCCCCCCACACATGCTACATATGGCCATGGTATTTTAAAAGAATAGCGTCAGCTTTAGGTAAGATGATCTCTTTAAACAAGCGAAACAGCAAGGTTATGAAAGCTGTAAACAAATAAAGTGAGACAGCTCATGTGGCAGCAAGGAAAAACAGATCTGGTCAGTCGAAGGGAGCTAGAGGCGGGGTTCATGCGCCATTTATCCTTCCTCTGAAGCATGACATCACCTCCAGCCAATGGGAGAGTGCTCTTAGTCTGATGATGTCATGTGAGTCCAATCAGAGGAGGTTTTGGGCAACACTGCAGTGGGCTACAGAGGGCAAGCAGAGGGTGATTCTCTCTTGTGCTCCATATAAACAGCTGTGTCCTTGTCTTCTTCATTTACACATCATTTTATTGACCCAGTTATATTGTTTTGCTGGATATTATTGAGACGTATCCAGATTTATGTCCCCTCTAATAATGGTTTGACAATGGAGACATGGTGACAAAACGTATGTTTATATAGCTTAAAGAGCAAGTGGAGTATTTAGATTCAAACAATTTTAGGTAAAACTTAACACATATATGCCTTTTTAGAATAAGGCTCCAGCACACACGCCTATGGTTATGTAACCATAATTCAGATAAGCCATAAAACAAACAAATTACCCTATTCACTCAAAATAAACATCCTCTTCACCACACTAAAGAAGTTTCTAGTTGACTTTTAAGTGTTTGTACAGCATGACAATCTCCCCAAACACATTTGACACTTATGACAAAATGTTTATTTTTCCTGTTTAACAGTGGAAAGTGCAGATCAAATAAAGTGTAGGTAACTGACACAAAAGTCACTCAAGATGCATTAGAGATGAATTGCGAATCACAGATCTAAACAGAATCTTCTCATCATTGGCTCAATCACTTATTGGTTGAGGCAATATTTCGTTCATTGTGTCAGTGGGAGCCAAGTATTGTTATTTTATGTTTTTCAGTTTAGAAGCTCAAAGTCTATGATCATGTTCAAATATCTTGTATTATATTGGGAAGAACTAAATGTATGACAGTCCTGTCAGGGGCCACTATTTAATGTTGGTAATCCTGTAATAATAATTTAGTTACCAGAAATTTCTGTTCTCACTTTTTTAATTTATGTAACGCCGTGTCAAACCTAGATGACCTATTTAGACTTTTGGAAAATGCAGGTTTATCCCATGTTATGATGTAACTCTTAATGGAGCCTATATGCTGCAGTTTATCCTGATCATGCCTTAATGCGAGACCCACTATAAGTCTCCTTCTACCGGCTGTTGCACAGCAAATGACTTGTGTCTTCATCTATAGTTAGCGTCCAGTGGGAGATGTATCTGTGATAATAATCAGAGAGGATGCCAGAAAATCTAAGTTTCTATGCTTGTGTTTCTTGCTGCTTGTTTTCTGACTGCAGTATTTGGGGTTGAAAGAGTTATTGGTGACAAATTTGTACCTTTAATTGCTCTTTGAATGTCTCCGTCGCCAGATTTGCTAATGTAAAGCTGCCTTCACGTGCTTTGCACAACTAGCACAAATGCATTTTCTAAGGAACAGCTGAAAGGGCAATTCCGCCTTACACAGAGACCTTCTACTTATTTTGATGTAAACATGTTGCGAACTAGTCATAACAACAACCATTTGTTTAGCTTTGCAGATATGTAAACCGATAGGCCTCTATTTTAAAAAATGCTAATCTGTAAAGCTCTTATCTTTTGTCATGCTTTTTAGCTTAAATGTTTCCCGTGTCAGTATGCAGACAGTAAAGTGAAGAGTGTAGGAAATGCATCGAAAAGACATGAAATGTTCTATTAGATACCTTATTTTAAATGGTACTACATACTGACTTGTTATTGACACAACATAAGACATTTTAATATACAGGTTAATCGATGCAACTCTGTAATCAATCAGCACAAAGGTTAAATATTGAGGCGATGTTTTGTATAATGTGTTTACTAATAACATACGGTACAAATGTACTACATATATTGTTCAGAAGACTTAACCTTGGTAAAGGTGACAGTTTTTTCAGCAGCAAAATCTACCTTAAAGTGATGTATTTATGTTTAGCACCGCCAAATCAACAACAGTGACCTGCTGACTGATTGTGATGGATTATAATTGTGACCTTTGCCTTTCCGCCACACTGTATCAGTGCAGCATTGTGACCTTTTGACAGTAACCTGATTTCAGGCAGTTTCTTTCCCTGTTCCTGGTTAGTATTTCATGTCCAGTACAAGTATTTACAATATCTACTTTAAACCCATTTTCAGTTGTCAGCTTTTATAGTCCTATCCACTCATTTATCTAGTATTATGCATAGTGTGTAATTAATCAAAATCACAATATGGCCAAGTGCAATGTATGAAACGCAGACGCTGCAATGTTTGGATAATGGTAAAATATGTCACAAAACAGCATTATAAAGAAGTACTGTAGTGCTGCAGAGATGCCCTAACCTACAAATGTCGTTCTCCAGATTTAAGAAGTCCGCGTGGTACAGACACATGATCATGATTTTAACAGTTTTGTCAATGAAAATTAAATTTGTGTTGCAAAAATGATCATCCCCACACTGTGTACCAAAGGCACTTTGGGTTTTTCACCATGTGTACAAGGAGCTGCAATCTCCTTGTCAGCCCAAAGACCGATCTGTGTTTTCACAGAAGTTCACTTGCACTGCTCTCCTTTTTGTTGCTCTGTTGAAATACGAGGTTTTTTTTGTAGGCAGGAAGGAAAAGGCATACAAGAAGGACTGTTACATCGTGCCCTGTGTACTAATATCCTGTACATTTTCTAGGCAATTCTGAGGTTTCTCAATGCCCTCTTGGCCCATGAAACTCTGACATTATTATAGGCCATTGGTGAACCTCAGAAAAGCAGATTACACTGAGGGAGACAGAATGGTGGAGATGTGGGCCTGGCTCAGCCCAGCGTGGATTATGATGTGGACTCTAATCCAGAGGGATGGACAGAGAGAATGAGGGTTAAGGGATTGCGTGGGCTCTGGGCTTTGGCCAGGTGGATTCACTACAGGCAGCCATGCTTTCTGTTTACAATGCGAGTCACGTTTTAGCCTGGTTTTTTTTTTTAGTATGTCATAGTATTCTTAAGGGCCTCCATCCCAAAAACCTAGCAGATTTTTAAATTGAATTAATCTACTAGTTATACTAATATAACTAACTAGTAGTTTGGTCTATAAAATGTAAGAAATGTGTGGCCAAGGAGATGTCTTGTTTTGTCCAAAATCAAAAGATGTTCAGTGTATCATCAATATAGGACTGAGAGAGCCGGCGAATGTTACATTTGAGAAGCCAGAACCATTGAATTTCTGGCACTTTTGCTTTAAAAATGACACAAACAGTTGATTAATCCACTAATGAAGCTGATCAGTGCCTCATTTAAAACAGTAGCTACCTGTTGTCCCCACACAGGAACGGGAAGCTTGTCTTGGAGCACGTTTGTTTAACAAATAGAAGAAGCATAGAGTTTGCAAAAGTCGGTATTTGACATTTATCACACAGATAACTGTTGGTCAATAAATGTTATAGCGACCTGTTGTCTGCGAGGTACTGGTGCCTCTGAATTCAGATAAAACCCCTCACTTTTGACTCACTTTGTCTTATCTTTATCGTTGCCCCCCCCAGTTCAGAATCACCTCACTGTAAAAAAAAAAAAAAAAAAAAAAAAAGGGCCTCACTCAACACATTGGAGCCTCTCCTCCCTCCTCCCTCCCTCCCTCTCCACTTCCTCCCCTCACCACCCTCTCCCTACTTGCAAAGGGGATTACAGATGGACGCAGAGACTGCAGCCCCGTTACCGGGTTCTGCAAGCGCATAGGGAGCGGCGGTCCGTCGGTACCTGGCTGTAAGGTGCAGGGGCGTCGACCAACGATGGGAAAAATAACATCCGACCCGCCGGGACGGTGGACGATGGGCGCATTTCTACCCCGACGCTAAGCGGGAGGAACCAAGACCGAGCGCGGACATCCAACACGCTTACACCCCCGAAGCGCCTGGCTTGCTTTTAGCTGCACACCACACCGGTGCCATATTGATACAATACCGAACAGCAACGCGTGTGTGTGTTTATGTGGTGTGTGTGTGTGTGTTTTGTGGATATCTGTTGGATCGCAAATGCCTCATGACATGTTCGAGTAAGTGGCATAAAGAGAGTCTCCATCCAGTGTTAATGAATAGCGTATGCTCATGCTGTAATCTGTCTCTGGTGCTCACACATCGTCCGTGGGTGGGTGGGTTTTTTTTTTTTTTTTTTGTGGGTGTTTTTTTGTGGTGGTCAAAATGATTCACAGCTCGCAAATCCCACTGATAATATGGGTGGGACAGTGTTTTGTGTGCATCCAGTAGATAGCTGTGGGTTAGTGTTCTCTCCTGTCGGTGCTCAGTGGGTCACTGACTGGAGCCCACCCCCACCCACCCCCCATCATCCCTCCATCCCTGTAGCATCTACTGTTTCTTAACTTAAAACGGGTTGTATAATTGCTCCCCAGTGACTCATGTTTGACTTTGTCTCGTCCCGTACACGTTTGTTCATGTATGGTGTTGTAAACGAGATGGTTGGACTGCTTTGTTTTGGTTAGCCGATGTGCTAGCTGCCGATTAGCCGATCTGTGTGTGTTGGCTCCCGTTTAATATGGGACGGGTCTAGGGCTGCACAGTTAATAGCAGTGTTATTAAAAATCACAATATGCGAGTTGCATTTTGCACTTTGCATCAATTTTTATTTAAAATAAGTGTAAAATGTGACAAACAGCATTAATGAAGTACTGTAGTGTTGCACAGATGCTTTGGTCTGCAAATGTTGTTTCTCCAAGTTTAAGAAGAACATTTTACAGGACTCCAACAAATGTCACATCATCATGATTTTAATAGTTTTTTTCCCAGTGAAAATTACATTTGTGATGCAAAGATGATCATTCCCGCACTGTTTGTGAATCATATCGCAATCAGTATGATGTTTTTTCCAAGTTGCGCAGCCGTAGACAAGCCACAATATAAAGGTTAACTACGTCAGAGAGATAACTGGAGGTTTGTGTTGTGTCCAGGTTTGTAAACACTGGCTGACACAGATTCACATCACAGTGTCCTGACCGCACACCAAGCCTATTTACAGCACCCTCCGCCCTTATACGTTTACCTAAAGATAGCTTAATGCTTCTTGTCATTGTGCCGCTCTGATTAACATTGCTGCATTAGATAACGCAGTGTTTCAGGGATTATTTTCCTATATAATGGATCTGGTGAGGTCTGATAGATGGACCCCCAGCTTCCTTGCTCCTTGTCCCAGCCATTAGTGGTGTTGCCTTGGAGATGATCATTTTGACTCGTCTCTTTTCCTTTTCAACTCCTGTTTCCTTTATTCGACCAAGTACACGTTGAAAAATCAATTTCAAACAAAGGCCTGGCCAAGAGGGCATCATGACAACATTATTATAACACAACAAAAGAGTATGGACGATACTATGTTTAGAGATGAGTTGATATTTCAGTTTTGCCTTTATCTGCGGCCAGTGTTTATCTGTTGTGTTGCATCCATTTTGCTATGGCTAAATGTTGTCTTGGTTATATCCAACTTGGATTTTGGAGAAATAATCACCTCCGTTTTCCAGCACTGGCACAAATTACACGCAAACGCAGATGTGCTCCGTGCAGCAGCACGGACAGTGAGCGAGGGTTCAGCTCTGCGTCTTACATCTTGGATGAGAAATAGACTGAGCTGCATCAAGGCGGAGATGTTTATCTTTGTAGGACATATAATGGTATATCCATATCCTGTTTCTCAATCTGTGCATCCCTAATTAAGTTAAAATGCACACAATTTTTACATTTTCACAAAATGAAAAAAATAATTTACCAACATTATTCAGCTCTGACAATTTGAAGTTCTTCTGTAGGTTGTTCCTTGAGAACAGGGCAGTTTATGTAAAAGCTTTTTTGCCCAACTCCATCCAAACACTTCTCAGGCCAGTTTAGACTCAGTTTGGATGTAGAAAAGGGAATTAAATTGTCAACAGTTTGGAGAATTGACTACTACTCGTCGCAAAAATTGTACAAAAGTCATGATTATACTCATGGAGGGGGTGAAGAAATGGCAGCTTATGTTGACAGAGAAGTTGCAAAGTAACGGTTAACAAGGGGGTTTGATAAAAGAGTTAGGGTTGGTGTGTGGAGAGCAGTTTGGCTCAAAGGGAGGAGGGGAAGCGATGAATTCTTTGTTTGGTTTCATTAACGAAATGACTTAAGCCCAGAAGGAGCCACTGCAGCATACTGTGGAGTGAGTGAGCTGGGAGCACTTACTGATTTAAAGCTGACACTGGTGCAGCTACTGTACACATGATTCATGATGTCTGGTCAGGATAAGGCAATGGGCAGTGGTAAACAGCTGTGTGTGTATGTTTGAAAGACAGCGGTACATTATAAGGTGACTGATGGTTGGTTACTTACAGAGGAATGAGGTGCAACCGTGGAAACTCTGTTGGCGTAAATCCAGACATTTCCTCGGGTCACTGACCTGAACGTTAGATGTAAATGTTTTGGCAGCAGTAGGATGACCATAATGAGAGCACTAGAGGCTGAACCATGTCAGAAACAGTTAATTGTCTGTCAAATGGAGGCTATAGTATATCAAATATAGTAAATGACAATCATATGTAAAGCGTTGTTTTTAAATTGCTTATTTAATGAGTAATTGATTGTTGTAATTGTTTGAGCCGTAAGACTTCAAAGTCCTGACAACCGTTCAGCTTTAATCTATGTCTATGTTGCTTTTCAGTCTGCATGTCTCAAGTAAATGTCTTTCACTCAAGTTCACCAGAAGACAATCTTAATTTAGATATCTGTAATTACATCACAAACTCTCTCTGAAGTTCTGACCTGGTAGTGTTTTATTCTAAAGAAAGCCAGTTAAAATCAGTTAGAGACACGGCCTCACATGGCCTTTCTTTGGTCTTCAGTTGGCGGTTTGAGATGACATGCTATTATCAAATAGGAAATGCGTGCAGCCTTTTATCAGAGCATGACATTAAAGGCATTAGAGATCAACATTTAGTGATGAAATATGCAAGAGTTTCCTCTGTTCTCCCCTGAGCTAAGTCTGTGTCTTTTTTTTGTCTCCAGTACAGCCAGTAACTCTCCACGCAGCACCCCCGGCAGCTCTCCCTCCCTGCGGCGCAGGGTCCTTGGGGGTGGCAGGGCCAGTGAGAACGAGGGAGGAGGAGAGAAGAGCAGTGGTGGTGGTGGAGGAGGAGGAGGAGGAGGAGGAGGAGGAGGGAGGAGGAGGGGAGGAGGTTCAGATAGCCCCTTGCCCTCCATTTACCCTCTGCCTCCTCCCTCCACATCCCGCCCTACCGCTTGCTTCTCGCCCACTTCAGCCGCAATGCCAAGGTAATAATCCACTGATCCAAGGTGATGTGCTAAAGAGCGCTGCTAATGCTTAAAATGCAAGACATTGGGTTGAGGTGCACGCTACAGACAAGCACTTAGTCACCAAGGGTTTCCTGCTCCATATATTAACATATGACTGCTATGTAAGCTTTATGTTGTGGGGAGTGAAAGACCTTCAAATGTCTTCGCATTAATCCAATTGAGCTATGACATTGGACTAAATTCAACACTTTTTATCGCATAATCATAACCAAGGGACACTTACAGTTCTTAGACTGAATCGTTTTCATGGATGAACCATTCATTGTATTGAAAGCAACCATTGGAGTGGGTGACACTGTCCACCTGGCCAAAGCCCAGAGCCGCACGACCAATCCCTTCAATAAACCCTCATCATTTACAGGGCCTTAACTGGATCCTAGCCCTTACTAGGAATATTTAAGAAGTTCACACTTTCAAACATGCATCAATCAATCCACGTCTGGGCTGAGCCAGGCAACTATACCACACTACCTACCACCAAACCATGTTTCTAGTCTGCGTGCGGTGTGAAATCTGCTTTTTCTGAGAGTAATCACCTCGAGACTCCCTTCCAAATCAATTATACAATTGTCGATTATTAAATGGGCAAAGAGTCCAGTCTACTTGAGAAATCTCACCACCGTTGCCTCTAGAAATTGAGTGTACAGTGATATTAGTAGCACAGGGCACGTAAATTGATATACATGTAGTCTTCTCTAGTTTATTGGCCTTTTACCCTCTCTTCCTGCCTCTATAGCCACTGTGACTATGATAAATGGTTGATGGTTTCTGTTAAACAGACTGGAAATGTTACCATGGTTCTTGTTCTCTGTAAAATTTACTTAGGACAGTGTCTGTAATTCTATGTGACTAAAGAGTCCTGGTTTAATGATCCAGCATGGTTTTTTCAGGCTCTACTGCTGTGAAAAAGATCAGCTTTTTTACTTACTGAACTGTTTGTTACAAGGCTGGTTCAGTGACACGTTAAACTTTTTTATAAATGAAGAAGCTGGATTGCTTTTGACACCACCTGAAAACAGTGCAAAGAACCTCCAACGTTACAAAAAAAACAGGCTTAGCTTCCGAGACTGGACTGGGCAGATTCACACATACAAATAAGCGGAGTGGATTACTTTACTATGCAACGTATTCTGATGGAATCTGTATAAAATCAGTTTGTACTGTTACATTTTTAATTTACAGAGAAATTCTGAGTAAGTTAATACTAAATATGCTGTCTTCTCTTTTACCGAACTGCCAGAGCTCGTACACATTACGTAATCAAACAAAATTTAACAGACACATGACT